AACTGTCAGTTACAATCTATAACTGATGGTTTTATAAATTATCCCCTCTGTCAGATAATCCCGAAGGAGAATTTTCAGCCATCATTTAATGAGCAATGGCTTAAGAAGGCTTTTGTTATAGCAAGATAATGCAAATAAAACCACAAATAGCTCTAAAAGCACAAGAGTGAGTTTGGAAGTAATCCTGTTTGTCATGTTTGGTTTCAGGTTCCTAACCCACGTGCAGAACACTCATCAGACAGAGAAAAAGTTCAAAGGTTTGTTGATAAGATTCTGTACAGAGAAATAAACAGATCCAGGGATTAGTCAGATCCAGGACTGGTCACGACTGGGTTCACTGCAGAGGGGGACAGAGGGGTTAGCAGAAGGTAATTTGCAGGATGTGAGAGTGCAGGTCTGTACCGGTTCTGGAGTTTGAGCAGAGCGGCAGAGGGGGGGAACCAGGAGGGTCCAGAGGCTGTAGGCAGGCTGAGGGCTTGGTGGAGGCAGAGCTTGGTTTGAATGCTTGCAGATCACAGGTTTGAGTTTCCCTTCCAGATTCTTCAGAGAGACGACAGGCAGGTCTTTGACAGGTTTGATTCTCCAGGGTTCTTCAGAGATCAGACAGACAGATTTCCAACAGAGAAACTCTTCAGGGTTTCTGGTTTCAGACAGGTTCAACCTGGGAAGCAGAGAAGACAAAACAGATCCGGTTCTGGTTCAGGTATTCAGGGATTCAAAGATTCAGACAGGCAGGTTGGCTCAGGCTTGCTAACCATAACTGGCAAACACTCTGGCACTGAGTTAAGCTCTCCACCTCCTTAAGTAGGGACCTCTTGATGAGCAGATGGAAAACAGGTGTTGCAGGTGAGCACAAGCCCTGAGGAAGGGATCCTTGGCGCCCTCTGGTGGGCAAGCCTCCGCATCCCAACACTGTTAAGATCGAGATTGAAGACCTGATCAATCAATATGATCTTACCAAACTAACAAAAACAACACATGCAGGGTTTTTATTTAGAAAAATGTTTTAAAAGCAGCGATACACAGTCAGATTCAGGGCCTGAAGTTCACTTTCTTTTGACCACAAGCCTCAGTGGATTTTTATCAACAAACTTTACGCCTAAAAAAAAAAGGTAAGCAACTCAGAAAATGCTTTAAAAATGTGAACTTCTACAGAATACACATTAAAGTGTTGTTTCGTTATTAACCAACTTTATCCCATTTGTTACTAGGCCTACATAATGAAAAAAATATATCTGGCGACAAATCGTGATTTTCAGCTTCCTGGTATAATATTGATCTTTCAGTTCCTAATATCGATTAAATAAAAACAAACATTTAACCTAAAACAATGAGGGAAAATTCGCTGCCTCTGCACCGCCAATCTGGCAGATGGCGCTGCGGAGCCCTTTTGCTGTGCAGCGCGGCGGCATATCTATAGCTGTGGCAGTCACAGTGGAAGACTTAAATTGACTCAAACGACACGGATACCAAAATAACTAAAGGATCAATATCTTCTGATGAACATATACAGCATTTGCTTTTATTGACTTTTTTTCTGCTACTCTTTTTTATTTTAAAGTTTGCTTGAAGACTACAAACGAAAAATTGAGGTATTTGACCTTAAACCCTTTAGATAAAGGGTTTAAAGCTGAGATTTATCTTTACATGTAAACCTAACAAACCCTTTGTGGATATAACTTATTTATTTGTTTGTTTATTGTCAAAAACATAATTGAAAGCATATAACCGCTGATCATGCCACACTTTCAATCATTAAATACATGTGCTTCGTCAAACTGAACAGCTTCAGACCAACTGCAGCAGGTTACTGGTCTCTATCAGGTCTGAGAGAAAGAAAGAAATTTAAGCCACACGTTGAGTTCTAGGGGTTTTCACTTTTCTGTTTTTGCCGCAGCCTGGTCTCATTATCACGAGGAGTATGGATCATATTCTGTAGTGGAACCCCGATCCTTTTGAATTTCCTTAATAGCTTTTATATTATCAGAAGCACTTTAACTCAGAATTCAAATTTGAAACACCGCTGGTGGTTTGATTACTTCCAGACCTGCAGATGCAAGAAAAATCAGTCCTCTGTGGCTACATGTTCATCCAGAAAGGAGTGTTCTACAAGTAAATGACTTGATCTTGTGGGTTTCCTTAAATAGGGAGAAAAATTTGAATCTATATTATGCGATCTCTGTAAAGTTCTTTATGCTTGTGTTGTAAATATGAGCTGTTAACAACACAAGCATAAACAAAACTAACTTTGATGTTTCTGTTTTTATTATTTTTCCAACTTCAAGCCCAGATCAGTTTTAGAAACTGTTAAAATGCTTGCAGTTCCAACCATGTTGTGTTCTGTTCTCTTCACTTACATTATTATTCTCTTCTTTATTACAATTACAAACAAGAAGCCGATATACAGATTAGTTTATGTTATTTAGCCTCTTATATAAACTTTTGTCTTTGCCTAAGGAGGTAACAATGCTGCCTCTGAATATATTTGTGAAAAGAAAACACAGGTATTATGAAAGAAGAAAGAATAAAAACAGAATCTTAGATTTGATGTTATCAGGGGTTTTAGGGATATTGGTCATTTCTTACATTAATATCAGGAAAAACGTTTCTATGAGCTGCAGACCAGCCCTCTTGTTCTCATATTCAGTGCCAAAAACATTGTTCAGTGTTTGGAAAATATCCAAAACAAAATGTGTTATAAAATAAATTGTTTCATCTATTCATCTACCTTTGACCTTCCAACAGCTCTCTCATTTTTGAAGTATAGGACTATAGATGTTAAATAAATAAGTAAAATTACTAGGGATGCATGATATAATCG